GTACGAGGACCGAGATGGCGTCTTGAGACGCAGGGCCATGTCGTGTGGTGTTCCGCAGGGGTCTGTCCTAGGACCTCTCCTGTGGAACATCGGGTACGACTGGGCCCTACGAGGGCGTCTCCCCCCCGGGCTGGGTGTAATCTGCTACGCGGACGACACCTTGCTCACGGCCCGGGGGGCTAACTTCCAGGAGGCGGCGCGCCTGGCCGCCACGGGAGTTTCCCAGGTGGTCGGGCGCATTGAGGCGTTGGGTTTGCGGGTGGCCCTGGATAAGACGGAGGCCCTATTATTTCATGGGCCCCGTCGTGGTCCACCCGCCGGCGCCTCAATCGAGGTCGGCTCGGTCCTCGTACCGGTCCGGGCCCAGATGAGGTACCTGGGTCTGGTCCTAGACGGTAGGTGGCTCTTCGACGAGCACTTCCGACAGCTTGGTCCGAAGCTGGTGGACACTGCCTCCGCCCTAGGGCGACTTTTGCCCAATTTGGGCGGGGCCAGTGTTCCCACGAGGCGGCTGTACGCGGGGGTTGTCCGGTCCATGGCGCTTTATGGTGCACCGGTGTGGGTGGCGGCTCTGACCGCCCCGAATAGGGCGCGCCTCTGGCGCCCCCAGAGGATATTGGCGGTCAGAGCCATACGCGGATACCGCACGGTGTCCACCGAGGCGGCTTGCGCCTTGGCCGGAACACCCCCGTGGGATTTGGAGGCGGAAGTGCTCGCCGAAGTTTATCGGCGAGTGGCTGACTTCCGGCGGAGAGCGGATTTCGCCCTCCGCCCGAAGACGTGCGCGAGTGGCGCGAAGCCGCTCGCCGAGCCACCATGGTGAGATGGTCGTTCCGGCTGGAGACTCCACGCGCTGGCTTCGCCGCCGTGGAGGCTCTCCAGCCGGTCATCGCCGAGTGGGCAGGGCGGCAGCACGGGACCCTTTCCTTCCGGCTCACGCAGGTGCTTTCCGGGCACGGTTGCTTCGGAAAGTACCTGTACTCGGTCGCTAGGAGGGAATCGAGTCCCGCCTGCCACCACTGCGACTGCAGTGAGGATTCGGCCCAGCACACGCTGGCGGTTTGCCCCGCATGGGCGACGCAGCGCCGGGCCCTCACTGCAGTCATCGGAGCAGATCTCTCGCTACCGGCCGTAATTCGCTCCATGGCCGGTAGCGACAGTTGTTTTACCGCGGTCGCAACCTTCTGCGAGGAGGTAATCTCGCAGAAGGAGGCGGCGGAGAAGGCCCGGGAGGACGACCTCCACTCGGTCCTGATCCGCCGCCGGCGAACCGGGCGGCGGAGGCGCGCTCACCTGTGCCTCATGCCGCCCTGAGTGTGGCCGCGGGTGGACGGGATGGGTTCTCCCCTCCACCAGCATTAGTTGGCCAGCCGCGAGGGGGCGGCGTCCGCGTGTGCCGGACGCCGCCTAAAGAGAGGGTCCACTGAGACGTAGCCCGCGCCAGGAGCGGGCCGGCGCTGGGAGGGGTCCAGAAGGAGATAGCTACCTGGACCCCTCCTAAACTGGAAGCGCAAAGAGGGCACACCGTGTGGTTTTAGTCGGTTCGAGTCCGACACACCGCCCCGCCGAACGAGAGCCCCGGCGGGGTGACGGTCCGAGGGGATTTCCACACGTAAAAAAAAAAAAAAAGGGTAGGTAATTTAATTTATGACATCAAATTTTTACTATTTAATTAACTATTTTATGATTGTTTACTTGATTTTGTGACATGTCCTAATTTTAATTTTAATTTTAATCTTAATCAATGAAGTAATGTAATAATCTTTTCAAATATTAATTCATTTTATTTATTTATTTATTTTTAAGTAAATTGTGATTGATGATATGATGTAATTAATTATTGTTTTTGTATATGGAACAAGATTTCTGAAATAAATTATATTATTATTATTATTATTATAATTGTACCGTGGCCGAAGGCCATCCTGCGGCTGGAGTCGGGCATATAAAATAAATGGGTGTGTGCGTATGCGAACTGTGCACGGACACCAAAATTACTACACACATGCAAACAAATGTCCTGCGCGAGGCGACGGCATGAGTTGGTTTGCGCTTGCTTTTCGGTAAACACCTGGCAAACAATGTTTGTGTGGTGCTATGCTATTTGTAAATAGTACGCGTTTTTAAGTTATTATATTTTGTTTTTTCATTTATTTACTATTAATTAAAGTCATCTAAAACGTACCAACGTTTTATTAAAATGTCTGTGAATAGCAAGTAAAGCACTGCATTTCTGCCTACAAGGAGCGCACGCCCCTGATCATCACCATCACCTCAGCCTATGCTTGTCCACTGCTGGACATAGGCCTCTCCCAATGATTTCCAGCGGGGACGGTTGATTGCGGCCTGCATCCAACAGTTTCCGGCAACCTTTACCAGGTCGTCCGTCCATCGGGTAAGCGGTCGTCCCACCCTGCGCTTTCCAGTACGTGGTTTCCATTGGAGAACCTTGCTGCCCCATCGGCCGTCATTTCTCCTTGCTATGTGCCCTGCCCATTGCCACTTCAGCGCGCTAATCCGTAAAACCTCAGTCGGCAAAACCTCAAAATGATTATTTTATAATATTCGTCAAAGAAAAAAATATTTTACAAATTTGTTTCTTTTTTTCTATTATAAACTATCTTCTTCGGCTAGTTTCGTCAAAATTCCCATTACCAAAACTGTAGGTAACTTTATTTAGTTAACTACAATTTTGGTAATGTAATTTTTTAAACAATGTATTAACTACACCAAAAAAAGAAAAAAAACAATTAACATAAAAATCTTAAAAAGTTCAATATCTTGAAAATGTTTAGGTTGGGCATGTTATGCGGAGGAATGAGTAAAATGTGGCGAAGAAAGTGTTAGGTAGGGGAGTACCCAACAGTACAAGAGAAGAGGAAGACCAAAGAAAATGTGGATGGACTGTGTGAGGATATAACTAGGAAGGGAGTGAACAGTGAAATGACGAATGATAGAGTGGAATGGAAGAATCATACATACTGCGCCGACCCTAAATAAAATTGGGATAAGGGTAGGCAGAAGATGATGATTAGGTTCGGCATATGGTATTTTAAAGCAAAATCTATCAGAAATGATGGCAACTACAACCCCATAAAGTATCTAGGTCGACTTAACCGGTAATCTGTAGAATTCATTTCTTTTTTTTATGTTAGAGAGGGCAGACGAGCATACGGGTCACCGGATGGAAAGTGACCATCGCCGACGATGAACGTCTGTTTGACACTATAACAAACAGTTTGGATTTGAGGTTTTTGAGAGAGAGAAACTGTAAAATTTAATAACACGTCTGCATCTACTTTACTGCTAAAAGTGTGTAAAAAGAATTTTACATTATACCTGGTCGTAACACAAGTCAGCTTAATAAGATACGAGACATAAGAGTATTGTTTGCCTGAATTATACTTACACCGCGAAGAGTTTATGCTGCATTATAATCTACATATTAAAGTGAACAATAGCAGACAGTCTAAGCTATTTAAACGAGAATCTAGTTTTGAATTATGAATTTCCCGAGCATTGTGCGATGTGATGCTAAAGGAGAGATTCAGGGAGCTTCATATGATGTTTGGGAATATAATGTAATCTTTTATTTATATTATTGTAGTAAAATATTTAGAAATATCCGTTTCCCATAGTTTTAAGCGTATTTATTTGTAATGTTTTCTAATACTTTTTTTTATTGGTCTATAAATCATCATGTTTTTTTATTTACGTTGTAAGGAATACAAAAAGGATTTTTTAGCTAAATGTTTTACTATAAATATTAATTCAATTGAAAATAACTAGCGTATGCACACTACACAAATACGAAAAACTTTATTCCGTCAGTCACAAATACGAATTTCAAAATACCGGTTTTCATAATTCCGAATGATTCACAATTCCTTATAAAATTTTCAAACTATCCTATGTTTTTGATTAAAAAAATCCAAAATTTCAAAAGATCTATTAAAAAAAGTCTAAGTTAATGATAATTCGAAACATAAAAAAATCGAATTCTTTCTATTTTTTCAAATAAAAAATATGCTCTTTCGCTGGTCACAGTTCTAACCTAACCGAACCCGAATGATTTACCAACAATAGAGGGGATCTTGCATTCATCGCCACTGTTCTAACCAAGCCCAAAGAAATTAATAACATTATATTAGTAGATGGTATCCGACGCAGGTATATGAAAACACCAAAAAATATTAATACACAAACATTATTAACAAAGTATACGTATTTAAATTACATCATACGTCACTATTTTGAATAAATATGCGAAACTGAATGTTATAGTAACTGAATCCGAAATCTAATTTTAGCAGTAAGTCGGAGAAAGAAAAGAAAGAAACTCGAAATTTCCTTTTTTGGACCGACCCACCCATCGAGCATTTGCTAGAGCAAAATCGAAAATCTTAGGTATTATGAAATTCGGACTTTTGAAAATCGGAACATCGAAATTCGGAATAAAATATTTCGGAGTATTTGGGTGTTCCCATAGCGTATAGTATAGCAAATTCAAAGACCGCTGGTGCAAAAATGCTTGCAGAAAAGCTATTTCAAAGTATTGTAAGCACCTTGCAAAATTGAAAATACAAAACAAAAAAATGCAAAACCTTTACCATAGCGATGCTCCTTCTAATCTGACCGTGCAGCGGTAGAACAGTTTTAGGTTTTTTTCTGTCTTAAATAGGAATTGTTTCCTTTCCTTACTGTTATTCCTGATACCTATACATGTAATCTATTGAAAGCCTTAAGACAAGCCGACAAGCTATTTTGTCATTACTTTTCACGGAGGGAGTAAGATCACCGACGAGCTGAAATCTAAATAGGCCACTCAGTAGGACACGTGCGAAAATTAAACAATTTGAATGCATTTTTATATTTCTTTTAATGGCATTATGTAACAGCATAAATACTTGAAGAAATACAATTTTATTCAAAACGATGATTGTAAAAAACATGGTGTCCGAACAATTTTTGATTCTCTTTCCATAACGACTCTCATGGTGCTAAAAGCTTATATCTTGCAGCTCTGGTGTATAATTTGGATCCAATTTTCTCGTAGCTATGACATTTTTGTACCACACTGCCGAAGTCTTCGGTTTTCGCGTCCGTTTGTCATCATCGAAGTCAACGTCGAACAATCCGAATTTTGGCCTGAAATTATATTAAATATGATACTAACAATTAAATTAAATATGATCAGGATATAGATTTATTTCATTAAATGACTACACAATATTAAAAAAAAAACCCCGACAATAAAAAAATATTATAAAACCCAAACATGTTATATAAAGGTTGTAAGGGACGTCGTAAACTAATACTGAAATAGTGTATTCAGACCATCATTCTGAGTCGAAAATCATTGGAATTTTCTGCCGGAAAATTAAACGTCTTATGCAATCAGCTGTCAAAGGTTAAGGTCATTTCCCGTAGGTGTCGTACAAAAGTAACAACTACATTTGTATTCCGTGCATTCAGTTACGCACACTAACATAAGTTGGCGGCCAGGGGAAGGCCTCGCGCGCTTCGTCTATTTGATTAATTACATTGAAGTTTTTGACCGTTTGTGGTAGTTATTAAATTGTTTTTGGTAAAATGTTCTTTTTACTCATTGTGATATAATAATTTTTCATCTTTTTTCAGAAAATTCGAATGATTTTCGACTCAGAATGATTGTCTGAATATACTATTTCGGTCCCTTCCAATTACAGCCTGTATATGCTGTAATTTTTGGAGGAGTTGGCTATCCAGCAAACCAACAATAAATGTCGTGGAAATACCATTAAAGTAACAGTATCCCAATTTCAGATCAATAGGACCTGTGCATTTTAGTGAGATCCCTTCATCACCTAGGAAGTGAGGTAATGATCTTCAAAATTTATAGCTAAGAACCATCTCGATCACATCGGCTTTCGAAACAAAAACACATCGAACTTGATGGACCAAGTTCGATGTGTTTAAAAAAAAAAAACGTTTTAGCTGCTGTTCGGTATTACGAGTATAAATACTACAGTACTAGAATAACTGTATGAAATATGCCGTAACTAACCGGATACATAAATAACACTTTAGCTCACTTCTAACATAATAATATTTCAGTATAAAATAAATAAGTTACCCGTAGCCACCATCCCATTCAAAATTGTCCATGAGACTCCAAGCTGTGAAAGTCGCCACATTGCAGCCGTCTTCGATAGCGCTTAACACAGCGCCTAAATAGTCTTTATAGTATTGTACTCTGTCTTCGTCGTCTGCACCTCCTAAGTCGCCGTAGCCATTTTCTGTAATCAGGATACGGGGGTTGTTGCATGTCTCCCTCACCCAATTAAGGGCTTTTCGCATGCCATTTGGTATTGCCTGAAATTTTTACCTTATATAATTCTTTCTAATTAAATTATTTTTTGAAATACTGCTTGAATTCGTATTAACCAATTGAGATAAGTTATATATTTGTATTAAGTGGCTTATGTATTAAAAGAAGTTCAAACTTCCAACCCCTTGAGAGCAAGCCTTACTTTATACGCTAAAATCGCTTATGTTTATTACTGCATATGTTATAAATAGACCAATAACAACTAGATTAACTGCTACTACATCCAGATATTATAGGTAAACAAAATTTAGCAAACTTAATATAAAAAATATATCATATATGTTGTACTTTCTGAAATAAAAACGAATGTAATTCGCTCCTAAACAAGCGTAATTCGATAACATAGGTGAAGATTTGAATCTAAGCTTTTTAAGCAAAACCATGATCAAAGATGTTTAATAAGCCTATTACGATTGATCAGCAAAGATCCTTTTAATTGAAAGTTAAATAAGAATTAAAAAATTTGACATTTCCTTTTTGCATAAATGCATCAAAATATAAATATTTATATCAAGAACTTTAGCAGATGAGAGGTTTAATAAACACAAATAAAAAGTTTGCATTATGTCCGTCAACTTTATGTCTAGTAGTTTGTATGTAATGCTCCCTTGTCTTCTTCATTATCTAGAGTTTAAGAGACCAATATAACTATACTTTAGTCACATAATAATGGAGCTAATTTTTTTTTTTGAATGTGAATTGAATGTATGTATGATATACTTAGCTGACCCGCGCGTTCTCATCTGCGTCTTTCAAAAAGAATAAATCAATAACAGAAACGGGGCAACCCGTTTCTGTAACATATTTCATTGATGATCTGCTCCTAGTTTTTTAGTTAGTTAACAGGATATTTTATAGCGTATAGGCTTCCTCATTAAATAGCCTATCCAAAACTAAAATATTCTTTCAATTCAAAACAGTAGTTCCTGAGATTAGCACGTTCAAACAAACAAACTCTTCACCTTTATTATATAGATTTATTTTAAGGTCACTTACCGTACTATGAATAACAGGAGCTTGCTTATAGTTCAGGTATGAAGTCAATCCTCCAATATCGTCATCATATGAAGGTATTGGAAAGCTTCCTTGGGTGTAACCCTTTTCAGTATAGAACTTAGTAGAGTAATGGTTGAACCCGAAAAAGTCACTTGTACCTGTACATGATTATTTAGTAAATTACAGGAAATCTTACAGTAGGTCCGAGTTAAATATTATTTAAAATAATGTAACTCGTACCGGATCATATTATGTATCCTTAAACGAGAACTTCTGCCGACAAACTATTTTAAAGTTTGGCAGACTTTAAATAATCAAAATATGTATAACAGATGTTTAATAAAGAAATAAAAAAAAAACTGAATTGAAAAGACAGAAAACTTATTTGAATCTGTAGAGAAGATAATGTTACACTCTGACACTATTCAGGTTCCAACATAAACTAGATGATGAAATAGTAGATCTTTAATATCCTTGGAGAATTCATGAAAAAGGAAGTAATTGTTAGGAAAAATAAACATTTGGTTGGTAAAAACACTACAAAATATACATATTTACAGAGTGTAAGAGAGAGACAAGTATGCATATAACACACTATAGCACAGATTAATGCACTTTACTATTTTCTCAGGTAATAAAAGAGGTAAAAAGATGAGTTGAAACGAAGGAGGCATACTGCAGTAGACTCTTGTACCTTTTTCTTATTGGTACTATTAGTGTAGTTGCGCATTAGCTTAATATAATATCAGAACTTCGACCATAATTCATCCATTTTCTTTTTTCATTTATATAATTATTATAACATCGTTAATAGATTTACTATATGCTATGATAAATTTCAAATAAAAATTTCAGAGTTTTAAGAGTCAGATGTCGTTAAGCGTATTCTTAGCAAAACACAGACGAAAACATGTCTGATGGATAATTTACCTTTTATATACTCCGCTTCTTCATGCGTTAATTGCGGCAGTCTAGTCCTGGGAAAGCCCTGTTGGGCACTCTTTTCAGCAACACGTTTGACCGCATCCTTAGGGAATCCTCCAGTGGTCGAAAATATAGGATGACTGTATAATCCGACTTCAAAATCCATGGCCAAGTTACCGAGTTCAATATCAGCGGAAGAATTTGTTGCACCTTCACGAAAATCTGTTGCTATTGTGATACCACAAACACCTGTAATTTACAATTTATTGAAAATACTTACGATAAATGAACAGCGTACGGTTAAAATAATCATACAAAAATCACTTCAAATATATGTTATAAATGAGGAAATGGTTGCTGTAAGCATAAATTTTCTTTGTTAGATCAAGTCTATTTATCTTAAGTATATAGAAGTCAACAATTATTGAGTTCATTTCTTTTTGAGTTTTTCTCTGAAAAACCGTGGGAGAGCCATGCTTCGGCACGAATGGGCTGGTTCGAATAGAGTGATACTACGGCCTCAGAGAAAACCGGCGTTAAGCAATTCTTTCGTTGTCTTTCACTGAGTGAGTGAGGTTACCAGAGCCCAAATCCCCCCTTCCTCTGACTCGAGCGGGAGGGACTCCAAGGGCAGCAACGCATTGTGACTTTTGAGTTGCAGGTGTCCAGGTGCGATAGTTGCTTATCAGGTGACCCGTCTGTTCGTTTGCCCCCTTATACCATAAAAAAGAGATTATGTAAAATTACCTTTTTGTTCTTTTCTGTATACTTTGTCATACAAATGATAGGCTCTAGCATGCGCCAGAAGAATATTCTTTACTGCCATATAATCACCTATTCCTGGTGATACCATATCAGGAGCAAATCTTGTCATCCCATAGCCAAATATTGCCAACTGTTTCGGTTCGTTTATAGTTATCCATGTCTTGACCCGATCCCCGTATGCTTCATATAAAACTCTTGCGTAATCTTCGAACCATTCCGTAATAAAAGGGTTTGTCCAACCACCAAGATCTTGCAAAGTTTGTGGCAAATCCCAATGATACATCGTCACCATTGGTTCAATTCCATTTGCTATTAATTCATCAATGAGCCTGTTGTAGTAGTCGATACCATCTTGATTAATAATATTAGCAAAACCACTAGGTAAAACTCTAGTCCATGCGATAGAGAATCTATAGAAGTCGATCCCCAAGTATTTCATCATCTGAATATCTCGTTGGTAGAATTCGTAAGATTTACACGCATCATCACCGGTTGAGCCATCTTTTATTCTGTCTGTTGTATGGCAGTAAGTGTCCCAAATGCTTGGGGTCTTACCTGAAAGGATTAAATATTGTACAATGTATATTTTATTCATTTTTGAGAGGGCTAAGAAGTACCTTGAGCCATAACTAGTTAAAAGTCAATAAGAGAAGACCTGAGAAAATTATCACTAATTTGCACTTTTTTTTTAATCGCATTTTAGTTACTACTACTATTACTATTGCATATTAACTAGCTGGTGGGTAGCGTGGAATTTGAAAAGTGCTGTTTAGTGGGTTCGATTCCCGGACCGGGGTAAGGTTTTTCTGAGTGGAAAAATAGCCAAGTTACTTGTTTTATAGACAGCTACCTGGTAGTAAAATATTATCAAAATCGGTCCAGCCATTTAGAAGATTACCCGGAACAAACAGACAGACAGACAGAAGGACAGATAGACAATCAAAAAAATTGAAACTGGTTTTTAGGCTTAGGTATCCTGCAAATAACCGTGTGAGCAGGAAAAACACCTATTATTTTGACATTACAAACAGACACTTCAATTTTATTTATTTGTATAGATTAAAGAATTAAGTTGAAGATAATCGCACTTAATGTTTAAAGTCAATATTTATTTTATTTACTTATAACTAGGAGGACCGTCAGCCTTGACAAACTTGGTTACCGTAGAGGATTGCATCAGTAAACCAATTATAGGGCTCCACAATTAGTTTAGTGAAAGAAAACTACATACCTGAAACATTCCAAGCACCTTCAATTTGATAATTGCTAGTCGCCACACCTAACTTTAATCCTTCAGGAATAGGTCTCATTATTGTTTCATTACCGTCGGACATATCACAAAGTGTGACTGCAGAAACAGCCAACACTAACGCAATCAGCCTAATAGCAGCCCTAAACAAAATAATTTAAAGAATTAGTCGTTTCGATTGACGCAGCTGCATTTTACAATGTGCATTTTCTGCAGTAACTAACATTACTATATAAATATATTCACGTAATACAAGATAGTATTAGATTAGATAGCAGTCATCTTTAAATGAGAACATAATATCGTTATAAGTGGTTATAAGTATAAGTTGATAACATTGAAATGGAGCCTACAGGTAATATTGCAAGACTGCACGGATGGCGTAGTGGTTTAAGTGGTCGCCACGCCGCTTACTACTAAGTCGAGTGTTGTGGGTCCGATCCCCACATGGGACGACACTTTGTGTGATCCACAAATTGTTGTTCTGAGTCTGGGTGTTCTTTGTGTCTGTTTCATATATATTTGTAAAGTCCCCACGACACAGGATATATTCCTTCGTCTTTTATTTTAAAAAAAATAACACACAATAACAAAAATCTAATAACTTCATTCAATAATTCTCACACACGCCAGTCTGATCCCAAGTTAGGCCGAGCCTGTGCTATGTGAACCAGACGGATGATAAACATACTTATATATTTCTAAATACATATATCAATTGCACCCAGACACAGAGCAAATATGATCATGCTTATCACACAATTATTTGTTCTGGATGGGAATCGAACCCACGACCTCCGGCTTAGCAGACAGGGTCACTAACCACTGGATTTATTTGTTTTATTTTAATCATGCAAATAGTACGTGTCCATTAATCAGTGTTCAGTTTGTAATGAAACAGGGACACTTTGTCAAGTTACGAAAAACAGTCTACAAAGTGTTGTTCTTAAATAACCGTAAAAGATGGGTTTGTGTACTAAAACTTAATTTAAATAAGATAAGAAATTAACAGATAAGATAGTGAGGAAAATTCATTCAATATATAATAGCAACTATGAACGTCGTGCGAACGTGCAAAAGCTAGATTTTAATAATTAATTCCTATGAAAGTTGGAAGAATCCGATGTACAATTTCTTGGTAGTTACTTCAGCTGTCTAAAGTTTGGGTACGATGTTTGAATTCAAAATTGAAAACAACATACCTATCTCTAAAAAAGTTGTTAATCTGTCTATATTTACATATATATAAAACAATATATTAAATTAAACAAACAAACATTTTTTTTTCTTTTTAAAAAACAGCTCCATCATTAGAAATATATCCTGTGTCGCGGGGGACTTTACGAACACACATGAAACGGACACAAAGAACACCCAGACTCAAAACAACAATTTGTGGATCACACAAAGTGTCGTCCCATGTGGGGTTTGTAACCACAACACTCGGCGTAGTAGGAAGCCGCGTGGCGACTGTTTAAACCACTACGCTATCCGTGCAGTTGAACACATAAAAACCTGAAGATATTCATTAAATTGTTTTAGCTAAGTAAAAAAATAAGTTTACTTACTTAATTTTTCGTACAGATAAAACAATTTAAGAATACAATAATAAAAACGTTAAATCGATTCGTGTGTACGCATCAAAAACTCAATAAGTTCATTACCGATTGAGCTCAAATTTTCTACACGATGTACAAACCGCTATAAAGATTGATTATATCTATTTTTCGTTTCGTTCCTCATCTATCATCAATACAACTACGATATGCCATAGCGAAACAAGGGAGGGTACAACTAGTACTCTATTCACTTATGTTTCTATCCCCAAAAGCGAAGAAATGAAGTATTACCAACTGCGTATAATTATGGCAGATATTACTGCATAACTGTGGTTACCATAAACAAAAGTAAACATAAAAAAGATGTTTTGTTATCCTTTTCTCCGAGATAGAGAGAGTAAAGCTCTACATGAAGAACCTTAAGCCTTAACTTTTGCGTAGTATTACCAGATCAATAACAGTCTTAAGTTGTTGTGATGAGTAAAGATACTTCGAGATTAAGATTAAGAGTAAGCCACGCCGCGTGAGATATCTTTCCAGGGGATTTGTGATGTAAATACGTAGGAAATTCACCAGATATAGGTCGATAACATTCTGTAATTGGTTTTTTGTTTTATGTTTTTTTTTTTATATTTTTTATTATTTGAATAAATTAATTTGTTTTTGTTTTTTGAATTATTTTTTTTTTTATATTTTTTATTATTTGAATAAATTATTTTGTTTTTTGTTTTTTGAATTTGACCAAGAAATATATTTTTTAAATTTCTGGAACCGGTTTGCGGTTCTTGGACCAGAAGTAAAAAATTAAAAAAGGAAACAAATTAAAATTACTGTTCACTTTTTTCTTGTCTAGTTCACGACCACACACACACACAGCATACGGCTTCTGGCTTGGTAGTCAGATACCAATCCAGAAGCCGTATGCTGTGTGTATTTAGAAATAGGAAATGTTTATCAACAGTTTAGTTACCACAGCATCCTTTACTTTCAATATGCTCCTGACTTTTCTATTTCAGCCCTAAAGTTCCTATTTGATGGCAATAGGCTTTCTTATAAAAACTCTCTCGTCAAATGAGCCGGATCGCCTGATGGTAAGTGACTACCATCGCCCATGTACACCTGCAACTCAAGAGTCACAAATGGGACTAAATCATAGATGGTTAATATATCGGCGTTAACACGCTGCTGCCGACCCCAGTGGAAGTATAGACATAAGTATATACATTTACATTAAACAGCTACTAATGACCAGAAACGTTTTGCGGATAAAGAAAATTAATAATTGTTTTTTTTTATTTATCTTTTTCTTCTTTCTAATTATTGTTTCAGTTGCTGTTATGAAATAAAATGGATTGATTTCTTAGTAGTATCTTCCTCTTTCCTAGGTAACCAATTTATTGTATTTACAACCGTGAAACTATAGCCCTAGTGTTTGGGAAAAAGGAATACCCGTAAAGTGTTAGTGACTTAGTGCTAAAAGTGATTAAAACTACTATAATGTCACGATCTTCTTGCCTCTTTCCAAATATTTATCTAGGGTTGGCGCAAAAAGATGTAGGCATCTCCTTCCTAAGGAGATGCCTCTCCTTCCTAGTCCAGCAGTGGACTATTAATAGCTCATGATGATGATAGCGCAATAACTTTTCTTCTTACATTCTCATCTATCATTCGTCAGTTCACTGCTTACTCCCTTTCTAGCCACATGCTCTTTTATGCAGTCTATTCAACTATTATTTGGCCCTCCCTCTGCTCTTATATCTATCAACTTCCGTACATAAAACTTTCTTAACTAAATTTTTATTAAATATAATTTAAACAATCAAAATTAAAGTTTCCGACCGAAGAGCGTGAAATAACCTATATTTTAGAAAAAAAATGTTTTAACTGTCTCCTATCTGGAGTTCACCAAATCTAAATGGTGCCGTTTGACGTTTTATACTTTTCAAGCCGTAACAACTTTGTATTATCGTAACTCACGCAATTTTAATAACCTTTTCCGTAAAATAATATAATTGTGAAGTTTTTGTGTGTGACTAAATTTGATTTTAACTTTTCAAACAGAAAAGCGACAATTTATAGCTTTTTAACGACTAATAATTAAAATCTACGAATAATCGAAATTATTAATAACGCCCTGTTTTTAAGTCAGGCGTCTTTTAGTATTTAATAATACTTAAATTTCAGATGACATCCAACTGTCAACGAAAACAACACATTTTAAATTAAAAGTATGTAAGTGAACGTAATTTTAAATAAATCTTTGTAGATAAAATCGCCTCAGGTCCAAGTATATGCTAAGATTTGATTTGACATGTGATTGTGATTTCGACATAGACAAAGATAGGCATTAAAATCAATCAAAATTCTGTTTATCAAAGATTACGACCTTTTTTTTAGATTTGGACCTTTCGCGAGTCTTGCGTAATAATAATAATTAGCAGTGATTTTTTAACTCAGTCGCAGGAGTAATAATATGATTTATAAATCATATGGTTTATCACATGTGATTGTAATTTTATTCCATCCCTATACTTATACCACCAATATTAATTAAGATGTAATATAATTAAATATACTTAGAATTTTAGCTAAATAACCGCATTCTTTTTTTTTATATCTATCATTTTATATAAATAACAATCATAAGAAAAATATCAGACATATCTCTAAGACAGTACGTAGGTATTTGTTACTATTAAATACTTAAAGACTATTACACATAAAAACTATTCTGCGTTTTACTTTAAATTTAAAATGAAAAATAAAATGATTTTGAAATATAAAGCAAATAAAACACTATTTTTGAAATATTTTTTATAGTTAATCCTATAAATTAGTACGCATTTTTTTAAGTAGTTTAGTAGGTAAATCCCTTAAATGCTTAAACTTAAAAAATAATAATTGAAAACACTACTACTTACATTGCGGCTTATTATTTGTTTGAAACAACAACAACAATTTGAAATAATAAAAACAAATTCGGAATATAAAGACGGCTGATCCCAATGGCGCAGATAAGATTATGCCGATTGGTAGTCGAAATACGAGAACTTGATATTTTAAATTTACATTATCTACAATATTATAGGCTCATAAATATGTAGACACGAACGGGTTAGTTAATATATTCAGCGATAAATTTTATTGTGATAAAAAAAAACATTTCATTTTGTAAAAAGACAACTTCCGCACTAGGAATCAATCCTGTGCCGCGGGGCACTTTACAAACATTCATGAAACGGACACAAAGTACACCCAGACTTAACTTGACAACAATTTGTGGATCACACAAAGTGTCGTCCCATGTGGGGTTTGAACCTGGACGCAATAGGAAGCGGCGTGGCGATCGCTTAAACCACTACGCCATCCGTGCAGTCATCTTAATTATTTTAACTTTTGGCGCTAAATAATAATATTTTCAAAAAATTATTTCATCAAAATGTATCGAGAAAACAAAGCGTTTCAACAATATCTCTCAAAGGTATACAACTTTTATTATTTAACTGTAATTTAGAACGAGAAATGCTTATAAAGGTATACAATATAATTAAATTTGTGAATATAAGATGCACACTCTCTATACCTAACTAATAATAAGGTGAAGAGTATGTTTGATAGGAGGATGTAATGTATGTATAATACGGCGGTAGTTGTAATTATTTTTATATAGCCAGATTATCACGCTACCGCCAATCTTCCTTGGAATTACACTTTCAACGTTACGCTTGTGTTTGATTTCGCTCCTTAGGTAAACCTAGAAGGACGACCAAGTCTAGACTTATCAGAGGATAGGAGGGATAGGATAGGATTTATTTCTTTTGTAAGGCGCAGACAGTTTCACGGGTTAGTTAGTCTATTAGTGAAACAATAACATTTTTTTTTTATTATTTAATGTTATTGAAAATATTTACTCTGAAACCTTTTATACTACTAATAATAATAATAATAATTATTATTATTATTATTATAGACATAGCAGTATGTAACACACACAATCTCCTCACGACGCACACAGAAAAGATGACTAAATACATAGGCTTAGCAACGGAAATAAAAAGGCAATGGCAGGTAGATAGAGTTAAAATAGTACCCATTGTCATATCTACAACTGGCGTAGTACCGAAGACTCTTCAAGATAGCCTCAACACATTGGAAATGCCGAAATCCTCTCTCATACTCTTACAAAAAGCAGTCCTTCTTAACACATGCCGTCTCACACGCAAATTTCTCGCTTCATCCTCATCATCTTAACTTCATATCATCATCCCTTTTTGGCACACTTGGCTAAGGCCCGTGTGTTAGATTTTGTTACCCCTTTAAAATAAAAGGGAGACCAGACAAGGTATAAAATGACATAATAATAATATAAACCCAGTACAGTTCTAGAAAATAATGCATTTAAAATATATTGGGATAGGATAATAATTACCGACAAAACCATACATTATAATAGACCGGATATAACAATACTAGACAAAACTAACAAAATAGTTTTTATTATAGACATAGCAGTATGTAACACACACAATCTCCTCACGACGCACACAGAAAAGATAACTAAATACACAGACTTAGCAACGGAAATAAAAAGGCAATGGCAGGTAGATAGAGTTAAAATAGTACCCATTGTCATATCTACAACTGGTGTAGTACCGAAGACTCTTCAAGATAGCCTCAACACATTGGAAATGCCGAAATCCTCTCTCATACTCTTACAAAAAGCAGTCCTTCTTAACACATGCCGTCTCACACGCAAATTTCTCGCTTCATCCTCATCATCTTAACTTCATATCATCATCCCTTTTTGGCACACTTGGCTAAGGCCCGTGTGTTAGATTTTGTTACCCCTTTAAAATAAAAGGGAGACCAGACAAGGTATAAAATGACATAATAATAATATTTATTTGCTGATCAAGGGTATACAATGGTGTTAACATTACATTTGAAATCGTACTCCTTAATCTACCTTAACTGGCATGCAAATTGTTTTTTTTTCTTTTTTAATAGGTACATGCATCAACTTAAAATTGGTATACGAGTACATTCATTTCAAAAAAATATTTTAGGTCAATTACAATAGATAGTTCCAATGCATTCTAAAAATATAAAAGTAACAGTACAATTTGATAGCAAAGAAACAATCAGAAAATCAAGTATTTCAGGATAATATATAAGTAAAATAATTAAATTCATTATATCAGGGCATGTCAATACAGGAATAAAATGTCAATATGTCAATCATGTCTAAAAATTGATAATAATAAATAATAAAATTATAATCATGTACAAACTAATAACAAAAAAAAAAAAAAATCAAATATAAAATAATAATAAAATGTCAACAATATGTATGTCCAGAAGATAAATTTGATTGTCTAGCTATATTATTTACCTTCGAGAAAATCACTAATTTTGTAATAGGTTTTACTAACTAGAAAGTCATGTAAACGTTTTTTGAAAAGATAACTATTCAAGATCTTTAGTTCATCGGGCAACCTATTATAAATTTTTGGTGCCATGCAGTAAATACTCTTTATGCAATCGTAATCTATTTTGGGTGTTTTTTCTCCTGTTACGAGTTACCGAATCCGCAAGGGTCTCAAAAAGTTCTTGATTTGATTTTGTAAAAGTCGCGGCTTCAAAAATGTACAGACAAGGTAACGTCAGGATTTTATATTGTCTAAAATAAGGCTCACAGCTATCTTGAATTTAAAGATTAAACATCGCTCGTATACACCTTTTTTGGGCTCTGAATACTAATTCTTTATTTGTAGAATTGCCCCAAAATATTATACCATATCTGAGATACGAAGCAGTAGCTCCATGATATGCTGTGAGTAAGGCATCAATATTAAGCACAGGTGCAAGTTTGAATAGCGCAAACGCTGTACTGCAGATTTTTTTGTGGTCAATGGTTAGTCCCAAAAATTTGGTCGTCGTAACCTGGCCAATTTCAATATTATTATAGTTAATTTCCAAATCTTTAAATGTGCATTCTCCCCCAAAATGGGAAGAGGTCAGACTCTAGTAACTGGTAAAGGATCGTTCCTTTACCGGTTACCTGAGTCTTGATATACTTAACACCTGATTTCTGTGAGCCTATGGTACTCCAGTCAAGCAGGGACATATATGCCGAAGCAGGGTTCTTTTGTGGTTAAGTTTAAGTTTATAAGTACAGAAGTTCCACTGAATAAATTAATTTTAATAAATAGAGACCCTTGCAGTGTCATTATAAAGTACAATTCAGGTTACGCATTGTTTGTAGATCGGCACAGGCATTTAATATATTTTGTATGGCTTTGATTTTTGTTAAATTTATTTGCTTACTATTTGACAAAACAGAAATTGTTGTTTTTGTGTGTGTTGATCTATGACTTTAGAGTCTTCATAAAAGACGATTTCAAACAAAGAAAAAAAAATGAAATAAAGGGAGTTTGAGTTGTAGTTCACCTAGGAGTTGTTTCTCGAGTCTACGACTTTAGGGTTTGGGATTAAGAGTTTAGGGCATTTCTCTACCTTTGGGATATTATTTCTATTGATCCCTAATTCAAAGTACATACGAAGCACATTCTATTTATGCAAATGTACAGGTTTGCGAAATGCGAAAATTTGTTTATACGAGTACTATCTTTAAGGTTTTAAGTTAATATCTCGGATTCCGAAACACCTATCTTATAGAATCATCCGCCACTTAAGAATTATGTATTGAAGAGGATTCGTGCGATAAAAATCCTTTTCAAGTTACCACCTGAAGGTTGGTATCACGTATTATCTAATTTAAAGATAGGATTATTTTAACGTAATAGATAAAACCTTAGGTGCCCCTACGTGACTGGAAACGTCAGTACGTCAGGTACGTAGGAACACTAAGTGGTTTACTAGCTGGCTAAAAACTATTGACACAAGGTAAGTTTCTAATAAAAAATCTTAATGTTTTCTTTTTTAATCTCTATGCATAAATAAAATTAACGCCACAACCATTTTCTCCAAGCTACCATAGGGTGAAACAGAAATTAGTACTACGTACACTAGATATTTATAGGTAAAAAAATCCTCTTCTAATCTTATTTTCATGTGATAAAACATAAGATAAAAAGACATCAGTGTCAGATAACTGACGTTTTATGCAAAGGGCATCTTAAGGTAATGTACCTACACTGTCTAATTTATGGAACCATTTTCTTTTTCTTTTTTTGTTGACGGGGTGAAAAATCCCTTCGAATGTCCTGCTCCTTCGAATAGCCAGGAGTATGTGGTGATTCTACTAAAAACCACCTCGCCAGCCTCAGGTGTCCTACTCTGGGGAGGACCCGGACAATTTATGTAACCCTACGCAGAAAAATATATCACACACGGCCGTCTGATGTGAAACTTGGCAGAACCTGTACTATAGTAACCAAATTGCTGATAAACATTCTAATATATTTCTAAATACATATTATAGATAACAGCTGTTCTTTTCAGCTAGCGCTATTTTAGTGCTTACGGCATGAAAAGAACAGCTGAAATAATTTCCAAAATGTTCCTTTTTCAGAACAATCGTGCACATCACACAAGTATTTGTCCTGGACAAATACTTGTGTGATGTGCACGATTAAATAATAGATGGCGTTATAAGAAAGAGAAATAAAGAAAGTAAAAATAAAAGGGCGCTTTATTTAAGTCGTGTTACGAAACTCCATCTTAATATATTATGAATAACGTAGAATCAATTTATTTGCTGATAAAGTGACATCGTCTATGATATTAGTTTATGTACGCAAATACATAATCATAATCAACAACATCTCCTTCAAGATCATTTGGTCGTTGAACTATTCACCCCCAACTAATTCTGTGGAGTGCACTCAAGGGCTGACAACTCACTTGTAGCTCTTCGGTGTACGTGAATGACGGTAGTCGCTTACCATCGGGTGACCTATCTACTC